GTGATAAAACTCTTCCCTTTACTTTGCACTTTCTCTCTGACGATTTAGAAGAGGAATCATAGGAACTACAATCTTGCATTGTTAGGGCTGACTTAACGAAGCTTTCGTTTTCCAAGACGAAAAGAAAGACAACCATCATGTCATCATTTAGCAGTCTTTCCCTTCTCACTCATTAGTTAGTGGGAAGGACATGTGCCTGATGCGATTATGGAACAACGAGCAAACTAGTTTCATTGGTGTTCAGCGTTGATGGGAAGCTGGTCCTTGTCACTGGATAAATGTGGCTAATACATCCAGTTTCCCCTGGATCTCTTGTGTACAGTTTACAGCTTGAGAAGAGGTGGGCACCAAAACAACAACAACAAAAAACAAAAAACAAACAAAAACAAAGCCCCAAACTGGGAAATGGGACAGCAGACCTTTTTAACGGGGACAGGCTGTGAGAAGAAATCAAGCATGGTGTAAAACTGGAGGCTATTCAAGCAGGGAGGGGAGGGGAGCTATAGGGCCGAGGCAGGTGCAGCGGAAGGGCAATAAAGTTCCCAGTGGATCATCGACAAAGTTCCTATGGGAAACCTTTTTTTAGAAGCAGAAGAATTGTTTGGCAATTTAAAACTTTAGTTCCTTATATTGTATTGTTAGACATTTAGTGAACATTTTCAACCTCCTGTTTTCTTCTTTGAATTTAATACTATGCAGGTGTAGTCAATTTTACTGGTTTAGGTCGGAGGGACCTTTTAGTAATTCTGATTTGCAGCTTGTTGCTCTAAATATATTAAGTGATGTGGAGACCTCTGGTGGCTTGCTTGGTTTCTCCACTTGAAGAATTAGGTGCTTAGCAGAGACTTCTGATTAGAAAAGACCTTAGAGATTATGGAGTCAAAATTGTCCATTTGACAGAAGGACTTGAAGCCCCAAAAAGGCTAAATGCCTTTCCCTGGATCACACAGCAGGGCTATTCTCCAAAGTGTTGTTGCTTCTTTGTATTGTTAGTAAAATAAACATGAAAAGCAAAATGACACATTGCATTTTATTCTGCAAGTCCTTTACATTTATCTCAAAAATACCTCTTGCATCCCAGTCTGCTCTGCATCCTTATTCCTCCTCTTCCAAGTCCCAGGGTCTCCCCTGGGACCATTGTCTTCCAGGCTCTTCTTTCTCTGCTCCCAACCTTTTCCTTTCTGGTACCCAACCACCCAAGTTGTTGCTCAAAAACTCAGACCTTGGAGTTGGAGAGATGTATTGATGGAAACTTCTGCCTACAGAGATGGCTCAGCAGTTCAAGGCACTGGCTCTTTTCCAGAGGACCTAGGGTCAATTCCCAGCACCCCTATGGTGGCTTACGTACTCTTGAAACTTCAGTTTGAGAGAATTGGATGTCCTTTGCTGGCTTCAATGGCCAACATACACATGTGGCACACAGACATAAATGTAGATAAAACATCAATCCACAAAATAACACAAACAAAAGAACCTTAGGCCTTGTCTTATGTCACTGCTTTGCTCAAACTTTATCTGAGTCACCAGTTTCCCAAGATTCTTGGCATGCTTAACAATATTTGGATACAGGTCCATATGAAAAGAATGATATTTCTTTGTACGAATCTTTTTTTCCCCTTTTAAGTTCTAGCCCTGCCATTTATGCATGGACTTGGCTATATTATTTAGTCTTTTAAGTCACATTGCATCATAAGTATTAAGGCTATCATTTCATATTAAGTGGTAGGGCTTGCCTTAGAGCTCAGAGAGCTAATTGTAAAGCCCCTTATAAAAAAGTACCCAGAGCATGTTTAGTTTCTTGAGTTTTTTTTGTATATTTTGGAGATCAGCCCTTTGTTTGATGTGGGTTGGTGAAGATCTTTTCCATTCTGTAAGGAGCCGTTTTGTCTTGTTGACCATGTTCTTTGCTTTACAGAAGCTTCTCAGTTCGAGGAGGTCCCATTTATTAATTGTTATTCTCCGTGTCTGTGCTACTGGTGTTTTATTTAGGAAGTGGTCTCTTGTGTTTATGTGTTCAAGTGTATTTCCCACCTTCTCTTCTCTTCTATGAGGTTCAGTGTGGATGGATTTATATTGATCCATTTGCAATTAAAAATGGGGTACAGATCTAAACAGAGAATTTTCAACAGAACAATCTCAAATGGTGGAAAGACCCTTAAGGAAATGCTCAACATCCTTAGTCATCAGGGAAATGTAAATCAAACCCACTCTTGAAATTCCATCTTACACTGATCACAATGGCTAAAATCAAAAACATCAATGGCAGCTTGTACTGGAGAGGATGTGGAGAAAGGGGAACACTCCTCCATTGCTAGTAGGAGTGTAAACTTGTACAGCTGCTGTGGAAATAAGTATGGTGATTTCTCAGAAAATTAGGAATCAATCTACCTTAAGACCCTGCAATACCATTGTTGGGCATATACCTGTAGGAGGCACATTCACAGCACAAGGACATTTGCTCAGCATTGTCCATAGCAACATTATTTGTAATAACCAGATCTTGGAAACAACCTAGATGTTCTTCAACTGAAGAATTGATAAAGAAAATGTGGTACATTTACACAATGGAGTACTACTCAGTGGTAGGAAACAGAGACATCCTAAAATTCATAGGCAAATGGACAGAACTAGAAAAAAAATCCTAAGTGAGGTAACCCAGACCCAGAGAGACAAATATAGTATATATTCACTCATAAATGGATACCAGACGTAAAGCAAAAGATACCCACCTACAATCTACAACCCTAGAGAAGCTAGAATCCTCTTCCAGAAACAGATGGAAGCAGATGCAGAAATCCACAGCTAACCTTTGGGCCAAGCTCCTGGAGTACAATCAAATTGAGGGAAGATAGATAATATGAACAAAGGAGTCAAGACCATGATGGGAAAACCCACAGAATCAGCTGACCCAACCTAGTGAGAGATCACCCACTCAGGTCTGACGAGCAGGGAACATGCATAAGATCCAACTAGACTCCCTTAATATAGGTGACAGTGGTGTGGCTGGGACAATATATGAGGCCACTGGCAGTGGGGCCAAGATCTAACACTAATGCACAAACTGACTTAGTGGAGTCCATTCTATATGGAGAGATAACTTGCTCAGCCTAGACACACAGGGTGTAGGGGATAGAGAGGTGCCTTGGTGCCTTAAAGAGATGATGGGACAGACTTAGTAGACTTCCTAAGTGAGGCCTTACCCTCTCTGAGGAGCAGATGGAAGGCTGGGGTGGGGTGGGAAGCGGGGATGGGGGGAGTGGGGAGAATTGAGGGGGTTTGGGGTTGGAATGTAAAAAAAATACATTAATAAAAAAGTACCTGGTACAAAGTAGTGGCTCTTGTTGATTTAGCTCATTGTATGATAAATATCTGCCATACTTCATGGAGAGCTTCCTGGGGGGAGGAGCTTTAGTGCCAAATCTGTAGGTCTTGGTGCAGTGAGTGACACATGAGAGGTGTATGTTCAAACAGTATTTGTTGAATGAATCCAAGCCATGATACCTTGAGTCATTTGATCTTTATACATTATAATTCCTTATGATACAAATAAGAATTAATGAAATGATATTTATGAAACACATAGGATAATCCCAGGTTCATAGATATATTGTGATAAATAAGCAAACTGGCAAAATGGCAAGTATCCTTTAAAAGCCATGATCAAGGATTGGATTATCTGTAGAAATTCTCAGCAGAATTAGATTTTTGGGGTGGACCTTCTCCCCAGCCACCATCTGCTGCACTGACTACATTTCCTTAGCCCCAACCCCCACTCAAAATTAATGGTTTCCTATTTCTTGCTGTCATACTCTAGGAAAAAGGGTTTGGTAGGAGAAAATAAAGTCTAGCAAGCCTTGGCCTGAACCTAGGCCATGTGAATTCTGTAACATTGGGTAGGTGAGCTAAGCTTTTAAACACTGCCTGTAATTGTACTTAGAATGAGGGGTGGTGATGATATATTAATCTACCCTATTAAAATGCACGCCTTTTTTAGACAGAAAGGCCCTAATAATCTTGTCTGGAATATTGTAATATCTGAAAAGTTATATAATTTGAATATGGAACTAAAACCTTCTTAGTGTTTGAAGACCATAAACACAAAGGGTAGAAGCTGGCAAGTGGGTAAAATGACTGCTATATGGAATGAGTACCTCATAACCCCATTGTTGGGGAGAGGAAACAGGGACAGGGGACCCCTGGGGAGTTCTTTGTATATAGTCTAGCCAGCCAGTGAGCTCAGGGTTCAGAGAGAGACTCTTTCAAAAACAAAGTAGAAAGCAATAGAGGAAACATCCCGAAGCTGACCTGTGGCCTCCACATACATGTACACATATGAGGACATACTCCCATATGACTTGTACATACACACACATACACACTCCACACATATACACACAGGCATATTTTTTAAAAAGCAAGGATGGTACAACTCAGGTGTCAATATTAGGTAGAGAATAAAGTTAAAACAACAAAACAAAACAAAACACCAAAATGACAATAACAAAAGTGTGACAGACAAAAGACTACCAAGCCAGTTCTGAAGTTTAATTTTTTTAAGTAGAAAAAAAAAAAACAAAAACATAGTTTTCAGCCAAATTACTAAAGTATTGTTGACATTGGAATGGATGGAATAGATAATACTATAAAAAGTTTTTAAGGCCTTTCCCACATAAATAGGAATAAAGAAAATCTAGCTCTGTAGGTGAGGGATTAGGCACAGCTGCACTACAAATTCCAAAGTTCTAGGCATCAGTCTTCAGCATCACAGTGAGGCTGGCAGGTGACCATGACCATCTTTGCAGAACAGGGAAGGCAGTTTAGCAAAGTTAACACAGCCAGACTCCCATGTCCCACGTCCAAGCCCCAGTGTCCCTCCCATTGACAGGTAACATGTGCTCTAGGAAGGTTGTGATATGTCAATTGGTCGTTTAACTTAATGTATTTAGTGTTTAATGTCTTGGGTCTCAGGATTGCTGTGGAAAGATGTGTTTGTCTTTCAGTTTATGCCTGTTCAAGCACCAAGTGATGAAGAAAAGAATGACCCTGTTCTTTTTGCCAGTAGAGTCCGGAATCTTATGGCAGAGTAAGTATGTTTTGGAGTTAATAACTGATAAATAATTTGAAAATTATTGGTAACTGTCACTTAATATAGCTTAAAGCACCTTCTCCCCCATCATTCATGAGTGAACTCATTTGGTAGGTGCAATGGTGTACTAAGGGACACATAGTCAGTGAAATAACTGATAGCAATGGGTCTCCACTTGAAAGGCCAGCTAGTGTCTTCCACGTGCTGGCCTGTCATTACAGAGCCTTGGGGTGGTTTCAGGCATCCTCTCTGAGGCCAGTTTTCCATTCCCTGAGCTAAAAAAGGCTGGCTGTTTCAAAGGCATTAATGATCATACAATCAAAAAGGAAAAGGCTTGTTTGTGTAAAGGTGACCAGAAAAGGAAAACATTTATCCATAGGAAAGGATGGCTATAACCACATTTAAAAACAGACAACTTAAGGTAAATATTTCTTGCACTTAAGGGGCTTTTAACTGTCAAGTATGTTAACTAGATAAATCACCCTGACTTGTAAGGAAGGAATGTGTTACTGTACACAACCACCCAGGCAGTTTTAGGGCCCTCCTAGTGTATACCTTCCCTCAGTGAGCCCCAGCAGGAGGTGTGGGACTAATAGACACACAGATCCTCCGCCCCCTTTCAGTAAGAACTCAATAGGAACTCTGAATTTGACTGTGTCCTAGATAGTTTTATGTCACCTGGACATAAGCTAGAGTCATTTGGGAAGAGGGATTCTCAATTGAAACAATGCCTCTATGAGATTTGCCCACAGGAAAGCCTGTAGTACATTTTCTATCTTTTCTTTTTGGTGGGAGGATTTTTAAAAATTATTTCTTTTTTTTGAGATTATTATAATTAACCCTTCAGTTTCCTCCCTCCAAGCCCTCTTTATCTCTTTATTTCTCTCGTTCTTCCTTTTTCTTTCTTTTCTTTCAAATTCATGTACTTTTTTCATTGATTGTTACTTGTGTGCAAGCATGTGTTCTTAAATACATACAAACATCCAGTCGGAATAATGTTACTTATGTGCATGTTTTCAGTGCTGACCATTTGGTATTAGATAACCAACTGGTGTGCTTATCCCTGGGGAAGTCTATGTCTCCCATTCTCAGCATTCCTTAATTTGTAGTGAATTTTCCTAATTACTGTTTCATATGAAAAGGTCCAGCTTACTGTGAGTGGTGCGATCCCTGGCCTTATGGTCCTGGGTTCTGTAACAAAGCAGGCTGAGCAAGCTATGAGGAGCAAACCAGTAAGTAGCACTCCTCTATGGCTTCTGCATCAGATCCTGCCTCTGAGTTCCTGCCCTGACTTCCCCCAGTGATGAGCTGTTCTCCAGAAGTATAAGAAAAATAAACCCTTTCCTCCCCAAGTTACTGTTTGGTTGTGATATTTTATCACTTAACTAAGACCACATTTCGTATAGGCTGCTTCCCCCTATATACTCATGTCTTACTTCATAATGGAATAAATTTGTTTTCAAAATAGGATGTTTATTGAAACATTTTTGCTATTGAGTATACTTGAGTATGCTTATTTTATCTAGTTTCTAAACCAGCTGGAAAAATTGTTCTTATATTTTTTTCACAATGTAAAAGCAATTTTTTAAACTGTCTGCCAGTTTAATGTCTAAAAATTAGGAAAGAATTTGTATCAGTTATCTTGACTCTCCACAGTATACCTTAAAACAAAGAAGGAACTTGTTCAGTCAACTTTTTTTTGTTCTGCGATATGAGTGGCGTGAGTAGTGGCCTTACATAAAGAATAAGAGAACAACTCATGCCACCCCCCCCAGCTCCTTTTTCTCATATAGGAAGTGGGAATTAAAATTACTGCTTTGTCTTTCACGTGCTTTTTTATTATAATGAGACTCAAGTAGGAAAGTAAATGATAAAATCATTTGAAAGTGTGTCTGCTCATCTCAGCTCTCAGGAGGCTGGGGATGGTGACATCAAGGCCAGCCTGGAGTGCACACTGAGACCTTGTATTAAAATATAAAAGGCAAAAATGTGATGAGGAGCACAGTGGATGTACTTCCCCATCAAGTGGTGTGGAGGCCCCTCATTCATGTTATCTAGCATTGTGCTCACAGCAGCCCTGAGGTAAGGAGAGCAATAGACTCTGGTTACTAAGCAGTTTGCCCAGAGTCATATGAGATGGTGAGAGGGCGGGACTCAGATCCACACTTACCCCACCAAACCTGAACATTATGTTGTATGATTTATAATGCTACTACTAATAAAGTATTTATTTTTCTAGTTAGAACACAACATATGAATTTTCAGCTACACAGAAGCCTAAAGATAGAGGAGTTTCCATGAGAGAAGCAAACAAGAGAATCTGAGGAGTCATGAACACCACTCTAGTCACATTGCCTGCTCATCAGCTCAGGACTAGTAAACAATTATGAGTGTCTTGTTGGTTTTCTCTGTACTGCTTTTAGAGCTCTGGAAATACCAGTAACGGATCACACCTATGAAGACTGCAGGCTAATGATCTCAGCAGGACAGCTAACGTTGCCTATGGAAGCTGGGCTGGTAGAATTTACTAAGATTAGCCGGAAATTGAAGTAAGTATATCTCAAGATCTATGTGTACACACATACATATTCATGTCAGAATGCATGTGTGGAGGTCAGAAGACAACTTGCAAAAGTCAGTTAATTCTCTTTCCACTGTAATGTCTTCCACCAACCAGAGATTGAATTCAGGTCATCAGGCTTAATGGCAAGCACCTTTACCCGATCTTGGCAGCAACTTCCACCTTCACATATATTTTTTTTCTTTCTTTTTTTGGTTTCAGTACCTATTCAGTTGCTGTTGTTAAGAAAAAACTCCTCTTTGTGCATTTGTGATGCAATTTGAATCATTTGGTATCACTAATTTGGCTATTTGGTGTGACCCTCACCAAATAATTAATGATAGTTAATTTTGTTCTTATTCTTACTAGAAGTTTACAGAAATTATCAACTTAATAGATGTTGGCATCCTCCCTAGGTGACTGCTGTAAAACTAGTTATTCTTTCAAAGTTTGATATGGAAATATATTATGATAAATTATATGAAAATTATCATTTTTGTCTTCTACATGACAATAAAATTTTGCTTTTGTGTTAGTACTGTGTCCACAATATTTCATAGATTTGAAAAGTGATATAGTCATTAAAATTGCTTGTAGATATGTATGTTATGTCACATATTTAATTCTTCAAAGAAAACAGGAGATAAAAGCATAGTGTAGTTTCCAATATTTTATCATTCTGACTTTTAATAATTAATATCAATTACAAAAATTTTGTGAACTATGAATTATCATCCTGAAAGTTTGTTGAAAGAATATTTATAATTTCTTTTATAGCAAGTTAATAAGCAACAGTTGACTTTCCAGATAATGTTAGGTTAAAATTCTTGGGTCACTTGCTGTTCCATCACACTCCTTGTATTTACTTTTCTTTCCTTCCAGTATTTGGGTTTTTTGTTACTTATATTGATATTTAAATGGTCACAACATGTTTATATGTTCTCTCAAATACTTATTTTCACTTTCTTTCAAAATTTAACATGAAGTATTTCCCTTAGACAAATGGATAAAATAAGTCGTAAAATGTACATGTGACTTAGAAAGAACTAATAATATCCTTGCCACTCTTTATTTAGATTAGACTGGGATGGCATTCGTAAGCACTTGGATGAATATGCATCTATTGCGAGTTCCTCAAAAGGAGGCAGAATTGGAATTGAAGAGTTTGCAGAATACTTAAAGTTACCTGTTTCAGATGTCTTGAGACAACTTTTTGCACTCTTTGACAGGGTATGTTCAAATATATCTTTGACATTTTACTCAGCCAGTTCCTGCAGACCTCAAGGCAGACGCTGACAAAATTCTCGGGCCACTGTGAGAAGAGCCCATGTAGTATCATGCCATGAGTTGATTTCCCTTTAGTGTGAATGTTAAATATAACTGTGAATATATGTAGTGCAACATTAAGTAAGGTGTGTTAGTTTAAACATCAGTTCAGAAGTGAAAACTGACTATATAGTCACATCTGCAATGTAGAATTGGAAATGTTTATGTAATTGAGAGGAATTTTAAATGTGTGTAGAATTTGTACCTTGGTGACACGGGCAATAGTGTTCTGTTCTGAACATTGCTGGACTGCCTCCAAAATGTATGAAGACCAAATGGATTTTATTTTTAAATGAAATTGCCTGACAGAGTTCAGCTAATCTCCCAAATGTTTGTAAATATGTAAGTGCCAGCAATTAGTTAACTGATCCATCAGTAAAGTTGATTTAGGAAAGTTTTATCAAGATTTCAGATTTTCTTCAAAAAGTTATTTTAGTGTATGAAATGTTAAAATGAACTCTTTTGGTTATAGTTCCCAGTTAGCACATGTGTGGAATCCTGTTACTTCCATTATATTTAAGGCAAAATAGTCTTAAAATGTATAGTCTAAAAATATACAAAACAATAATTTCTTTGTAGCTACCCATTTGTAGTAAAGCCTCCCCCCACCTTTAATTCCTTTTATCATTAGTAAATGTTGCTGTCCATCCTGGTCATTATGCATTATCAAGACTCCATATAAATGGGATCATATAGCACTAAAGTCCCAGTTATGGTGTCTTTCACATAGCATAATGTATTTACTATTCATTCATTGATTTGAATTTAGCAATAATTTGTTCCTTTTATCTATTTCTCAACTGAGGAATATTTGCTTTGTGTCCAGCTGGGGCAATTTAAACACATCCTCTTACCTTCAAGTCTCCATGGTCCACAGCCTTCCTTCCTGGTTGTTCTCTGAGTTGTGATTTTCCTCACCAATCCTTCTTTGGCGTTTTATTCAGGTGTAGTTGGTCTTTTTGTATTCACCCAGGGTTTGTAGGTTAGTTGGGAAAGAGCTCAAAAGGTTCTTACTCCCTCTTGTTTAATGTTGAAATTCTCAGTTGTCTACCACCACCAAGAAAAGATGTTTTTTGAAGAAATTACACTTGATAACAGTCAGAGCAAGGTTTCCCCAATCCCTTGCTGTCTCTCCTCCCAGCATGGTCATCTTCCTGGTGATTTATTTTGTGATCGTGTAGAATCAGCTAGTCTTTAAAATGACATGGATCATCAACCTTTCTCTGTGTGTAGTCCCTATGTAACTCTTCTGGACTTGCTACAGTATTCTAATAATATGCCCTCCTACATGAAATAGCTTATTAATGTCATGGTGTCCTTAAAGTGTAATGAATATTTATGGTGAGGGAGAAAAATTATTGTACATTAACTATGCAAGTTGGTAAATTAGATGTGCTTTTCACTTTATAACCGCTGTTTCTTTGACATTTCCAGAGCAACTTTCACTGTGGCTCATAAGCAATACAAGCAGTTTCCAGTGAAGTCCTCTGTAGTCCATGTGCTGACAGGACAGGATATGTCAGTGACATGCAAATAAGGGAAGGAGATAAGAAAATGGAAAAAGATGGGGAACAGGGACAAAAGGGGACAATTACAGCACATCTTTAGACATCATCAGGATATGTTCATCAACATTAAAGTAATATTTGTAAAAGTTGTTCCATACTTCAGGTGTCAAACTACCAGAGCTGGCAGTTACAGGATTGTTCTGGCTTTTGATTGGTGACACCTGCTAACACCTGTGCTATTTCTATATCACATTTAAATACCAGAAGATTTGGGAGTGAGAAAAGGACCTAAAAGCAGGGATTAAACTAACTGCCAGTCAGATTGAGTAACTCTGACTGAGAGAAGACAATTGGCCTTGGGCTTAAGGATACTGGTGAGAACTGTAGCTTGTGTTGCAATCACATTTCTTCATGGATTATTTTCGTAGGTTTTGTGTTTATGGTTTTTTTCTCTCTCTCTTTCTTATGAGAACTGTCCTTCATGTCCTTTTGGGGTGTGTAATATCCTGTGTTGCTAATTCAAACATGAATCTACCTCCTAGGCTCCTTAAGCAGTGTGTGTTTGATTTGACTATGCCTATTCATGGATTCTTCCTATGTGCTTACATTCTGTTTGCCCTCTCTAAACAGTGTAACACGATAGTCTCTGGTTGGCTGTCCTGCCTCTGTTTTGTAGAATGTCTGCACCTTCTTTCTTGCAGTTCCTTAGTGCTGTAGGCGCTGACTTCTGATCTCCCCCTATTTGCCTGAGGACTTACTTTTGGGCAAAAAAGTTAATGAGACATAAAAGCTCATTAGGACATTAGTGATTTTGAAAGTCTATTTATAATACAGTAAAATGTTTATGAAATATTAGTGAAAAGAATTCAAATGTCAATTTATACAGCATGATCTCAATTTTATACTAAAAATAAAAGAAAATATGGCAAGTCCCATAATTTGAGCCATAAACATGATTAAAATGAACACGAGGAACTCCTCATGGTGATGGGGCTGCATAGCTTCAGGCTTATGCAGAGTGGTGGCTTGAGATGAGGACTTTTAAATTGTTTTCCCTAAAAACTATGGGGAGAATTTTTCCTACATAGATGTCTTGAAAAAAGACAAGGAAATGGAAGCTGGCCCATGATTCATCTAGGACATTGTGGTATATGCAGGGAGCTAAAGACTAAGTCAGAAATAGAAGCAGGTGCAGCTGTAGAGATGCCAAAGCTGGGGAAGGAATTCAGAGAATACAGATTTCACTCACCTATACAGCTGTAAATGGTCTTCTCTGTACGTAGCTTTCCACATAGACCACAAGCGGGTCTTCTGCCTGACACATACTGGAAGAGACAATAGTGTGGAGAATTAATGACTAATGTGTTAGTCTGTCTGTCTGTCTGTTCACCTCTCTCTCTCTCTCTCTCTCTCTCTCTCTCTCTCTGTGTGTGTGTGTGTGTGTGTGTGTGTGTGTGTGTGTGTAATGCAGCTGCATGTCTGTGCCTCTGAAGATTTTCTTTGTTTGGAAAAGCTGAGTTATGTAATTGTTGCCACACCTTGTGCACACACTCGCACATGTCAGGCCTATTTTCTCAGTCTAGTGAAGTGACTGAGCTTGAGAGTATTTGATGGGAGAGCAAGAAGGTCCAGCAGCTGCAAGTGTGTTTCTCTCGGTAGCTATGCAGTAGATTCAATGCTGAATGAGGCCTGGGTGTTCCCGTTGATCTCTTAGCAGCTATACATTTTTATGTGGAAAACTCCTCCAACCCTTTTACATGAACTTTTGCCCTCTTTTCCCTTCTCAGGGTTCCCTAAGAATTTTCTCTTCCCAGATACATTCTTGGCTAATCTATAAGAGCTTCGAAATTATTTTTATCAATCTGTCCTAAAACTGCTACTAGTAGTATGTTCTTTAGATTCTCAGAGCTTAAAGGCTCCAAAGGTGGCATGCCATTGTTTACTAGTTTGGAGTAAGTTCCTTTGACAAGGTCCTGTCTCTTTGAGGGACGAAAGCAAAAGACTCTTTTTATTTTTGGCTTTAATTTAGCTTGTTTATACTCAAAAGTATTTACCAAATTCTTCATACCAAAAGTTAATTGGAAAATTAATTTAATGTCCAGATATGTCTGAGAAAATAGTTTAGAACATTGACATCTCAATATTTTTATGCTAATAATTCAAATTAAGCATTAAATTAATGCTAGCCCACATGAAGGAACTTAAGAGCATTTAATGAGATCAAGAAATAATACTGGTTAAATCAGGAGCAATTATGGGGCAGTCATCTCTATAAATACAGCTATGCCTTGCCAAGACCGTAGCAACAGTTCATTTCATCCTCTGCAAGCACCTCTTGTTAATATCCTCCTACACTAAAAAAGATTATTTTATGTGTAAGCATATTTTTATTGCACTATATCCTTGTAGCACATCTATGCCTGGTGCATGCAGAGGCCATAAGAGAGCATCAAATCCTTAGGAACTAGAGTTACAGATGGCTGTGAGCCACCGTGTGGGTGCTAAGAATTAAAATGTGGTCTTCTGGAAGAGCAGCCGTTGCTCTTAACCTCTGAGCAATCTCTCCAGCCTTTCTCCCCTAGTTTGAAATAGTAGTATATCAAGAATCTTCACATGACACAAGAAAAGAATGAGAGAACTAGACTTCTGCTTCCTCAGGTATAGTCCGACATGAGCTCAGTATCTTACCAACCAATACTACTCTGTACACAGACCATTGACTAGTGAGACTGCATGGTTACTATTTCCCTTCTTTAACAAACACTGACAAGTGTCGTATTTCCATTTCTGCTGTTTAGTACTGAGCTCTTCTGGCAGCAGTGCATCCTTTATTTAAGTGTGACTCAGAAGGGGTTTATATATACTTTAGCAGTCTGGCAAACAAGCTTTTCTCGATATTGTAAACTTGTGTAGATCTTTCATTACTGTTTCATTCTGTGGAATGAATGTATTTCTTTATTCCAAGTTCTTCCCATCTGCCCAGTTCTTGGTATGAATCCAAGTGCAAGTCTTGAATGCCAATAATAATAAACATCCTGGCTTGCCCTAGCTGTTAGAAGCAATGTGCTGTGGTGCAGGGATTTGTTCCTGATAAAAGTTAAGGCACAGGTACCTTTAGTGTATGTAGAGAGATGAGAAAATTCCAATCTTTTTCATTTCCATGTCAGTTTTGATTAAGTAATATAGTGTTTCATAGTCCATGTGAGGAGAACTCATCTTGATTTCAAGTTGAGTTATTCAGTCTTTGCTCTATGAAACTCACTTCATAATTTACATGACATCATTAGAAGAAAAAGGATACAACTTCTGGGTGGGATAGGAGAACTTTTCTGTTCAGTTGTCCTGAAAGTTTGGCAGTCCTCTGTTTTAAGCATTTGTTTTCAATTCTTGGGTTGACTTGACTCTCATCTCATCCATTGTAGAAATTTTCTAAGAATGTTATTGTATCATAAATATGTATCTGGACATAAGAATTATATCCTTTACCTTCTTAATGCATGGGTACCTGGGAGGTTAGTAGAGGAAACAGAAGAGGGGCTGAAATAATCCAAATATCTGCACTGTAACAAGTGAGCAATTGCTGGCCTGTCCTGAGAGTAGAGGGAAGTAACAAGCAGGCTTTGTAAGGAAAAGATTGTGTTCAGCCAATTTCATCCTCCATGCTGGACAGAGAGAACATCTAACATACAGGAAAAATTGACACTCTACATAGACCCTAGAAAAGCTTTTGATTTCATCCAACATGACATTTTGATCAATAAATGATTGCCAAATTCAGACACATCATGTTGCAGTAGCTAAAGCCACACCTGACAGAAAGACTTTACCTGAGGTGGGAGTTTCGAGTCCTTAGTATGGACTCAGCCCCTTCCTGTGACCTGGAAGTCCTCTTTAGAGGAGTAATGTACCTAGTAGGTTGTAGTCAGGAATACTTTTGATAATGAGGCATCATTGTAAACATAGGGTTAGCAGGTTCCAGGATATAGATAGATAGATAGATAGATAGATAGATAGATAGATAGATAGATAGATAGACCAGAAAGGTGTGTAGGTTGTAGGGAAACTGAACTCAAGAATGTTGCTGCTGTCACTGCTACATGACACATGAAAATCCAGACACATACTTGGTGGTGGTGGTGAACACCTTTGATCCTAGTGCTCAGGAGGCAGAGGCAGGTGGATCTGTGTGAGTTCGAAGCCAGCCTGGTCTACAGAGAAAGTTCCAGGACAGCTACACAGAGAAACCCTGTCTCGAAAAACAAAAAACAAGAACAAAACAAAACAGAAACAAGAAAAAAAGAAAAAAAAAAAAACAGAGGCACACAAATATAGAACCTGAGGCCTTCAGTATCAGATTAATTGCCCATTCTTCTCATTTGGTGGTAAGCAGCTAGGAAGTTCTACCTCATGGCCACACTGTGGGCTGGTGGTGTGTTCTGCTCTTAGGGAGGGTGAATTCACCTCTGACACCACATCAGCAGCTCACAGCTGCCCATGACTCCAGCTCCAGGGATCCACAGAGACACATACGTATATAGTATAGCTTTTGTATAAGTGTAAGCCTCAAAGAGATTCCAAAAATATTAGTTATGGACCCCATAGCTAACCTCCAGACAGAACTTCTGAGGGTAGGATCTGGAGACCTCGACTGAAGAAGACCCCTACCAAGCTATTCTTAAAAACTGGATTCTGGAAACCTTAAGAAAGGAGAACATCTGTATCAAATGCCAGGAATTCTTCAATTCGACCCCTACAGAAACACTCCTTGGTTAAGAAGTTGTTTTGAGTCACTTCTTTCCTGTGAGGAAAATTCATGTCCTCTTTGAGTGCTAAAAAAAAGTCAGAACACAATGCATAGGCATTTAAAGTTTTATGTTTTCTATTTAAAATACTATTCTAATGGGGAATGTCTAAAGACATGGAAACGTAACTTTATAGAGGCTCCCGAAAATATGGCTGGTGCTAGGACCCAGCAGAACTCAGCAACTTCTGTTGGAGATGGAACATCTCCTCAGGGGTGTGGTGCAGTTTTAAGCAGGTACAGAAAAGCCAGTTCTTCCGCATGTGCACTGCACTGACTCTATTGCAGCTCTCTCCAAACCACCTCCGGGATTTTAGCAGCTTCCACACCCGCTCGCTAACCCGCAGACATGTTTCTGGCAAAGGCGATCCTGGAAGGGGCAGATCGGGGGCTTGGGGGGGCTCTTGGAGGCCTTCTTGGAGGAGGCGGTCAGGGTCAGGGAAGAGGAGGCGGAAGCAATATCGGAGGGATCATTGGAGGAATTGTCAATTTTATCAGCGAGGCTGCTGCAGCTCAGTATGTCCCAGAGCCGCCTCCCCCGCAGCAGCAGCATTTTACCACCGTGGAGGCCTCGGAAAGTGAGGAAGTCAGGCGGTTTCGGCACCAGTTTGCACAGCTGGCTGGACCTGACATGGAGGTGGGTGCCCATGACCTGATGAAGATTCTCAACAAAGTTGTTTCTAAGCACAAGGATCTGAAGACCGATGGCTTCAGCCTTGACACTTGCAGGAGCATTGTATCTGTCATGGACAGTGACACGACGGGGAAGCTGGGCTTTGAGGAGTTTAAGTACCTGTGGAACAACATCAAGAAATGGCAGTGTGTTTTCAAGAATTATGACAGCGACCATTCTGGCTCTCTCAGAGGCGCCCAGCTGCACGGGGCTGTGCAGGCTGCAGGCTTCCAGCTAAACGAGCGACTTTACCTCATGATTGTCCGCCGGTATGCTAGTGATGATGGCAGTATGGATTTTAACAACTTCATCAGCTGCCTGGTCCGTCTGGATGCCATGTTTCGCTCTTTCAAATCCCTGGACCGTGATGCGGATGGCCTGATTCAGGTGTCCCTCCGAGAGTGGCTGCAGCTGACCATGTATTCCTGAAGTGGAGGCAGGGAGGGTGAGACCAGCTGTGGAGGACAGAACAGCAGAAAGTCTTGCTGTGTGGACCTTAACTCATACCCCACCCAACAGCTACCACTTCCTGGGGAGGGGGTGTCTTTTATAACGCTGTATATTCCTGGACATCTACACTATACTGCTTGATTAAAACTAATTTTGAACAAAAAGTCTTATGAGTGGTTTGTGTATTGGCTTTTTGAGAGACAATTGTAGAGACATATATATGTGATGAGGAGATATTGGTTGACTTTGAAAGGTTGTTACTTATTGGTGAATGGATTAGCATTGCTTACAACCCTGGAATAGATCAAGAACACATCAGGGGTAGAGTTTTTCCCTTGAGAAACTGAGAAGGAAAGGTTAAATTATGAGTCTGTTCTACTCAAAATTTCACATCTGGTCTTTATATTATGAAGAAGTGTACTTTCCAAAGAACTTACTTTATTGTATAACAATGCGTTCAAAATGGGAGATTAGGCAATTTTATATAGGGGTATCATTTTATAAAAATATAAAAGTCTAGAGTTCTTTAGTGTTTTCTAGTGAGACAAACAGAGTCAAGGACCAGGAGTAATAAAAAAGGTGTTCCTGTTCAAAATGTCTTTAGCCTCCTTAATGAGCCAAAATAATCACTTATGTTTACTTGGTACTAAATCAGGCACACCCGGGTGATGTTAGCCTGCTCTTGTCCCATCTCGCCCTACCTGAGAGCAAGGAAAATTCTTTTGCTTGCTTGTTGGAAACAACAGGCAGGGAGGTAAAAAAAAAAAAAAAAGACACCAGGTAAAACACATAATTAGCAATCATTGAAGTGGACTATGAAACAACATAGACAACAAATATTGCTGACTTTTCTTGCAGTGGTTTGAAGTCCTGGCTGCAATTTAGCATTGCAGTGATGAGTGACTGACTCCTACTCCAGATGAAGTGAGTCTCTTCAGATCCCTATTCTCAAAACTTCAGCTCATGCTAATGCCGAGTAAGCTGACAGACTTAAGGGCTTTAGATTATGCCTGACTCCCAGTGTTTTTCAAGTCTGTCTCAGCCAGAACTGCCAGACAGGTGAGTCAGTGCCACCTCCATTCAAGAAGGGGAAAATAGGAATAGTGAGAATCTGCCACCCACTACTGAGTTAACCACGTCTTTCTAGTAAGTAAAACCCAAGACCCATGAGAGGCTTGGTTGCAAGTCTTTGTTCACCCATTCCCCAGTCTTCAGTGGTTTTCACTCTCTGCTATGTTTAGTGCCTTCTTTCCACCCTGGGCCACTTTGGAGAGTCCTTCTGAAGTAGCTGGCCTCTTCGGAGGCCTGGAACTCATTTTAGAAAGGTCCAGTGATGTTGGGAGAGGTTAGCATTTGGCCACCGTGTGCACCATCACCACCATCATGTAGTATTTATGAACTACCGCACACATAATTCTGAACTGAGGCAAGCACAGAGGTCACATCTCTTTCTTAAAGGAACTTGTAATTTAACTTGGTCTGATAGTCTGCTTAGACCAGCTGTGGGTATATAAGCACGAGGCTGCTGCCAGCAACCACACATTCTTATCAGCCTCACTATTGTAGAATAAATCCAGGAATACATCAGACACAGGAGCAGGAGAGTAGCCAGGAAAGGGAGAAACTGCCAAGATGTCTGTCAGGACATTTTGTTTCTAATTTTATTTTCACATTGTGGTTGTGGAAAGGACAATGTAGAGCTTTATTTTTGTTCCAAATTTCATCACAGATGTCATATAAAAGTTAAGGCTGTCATCGCATCCTAGAAGTGGCAATAAGTATTTCCCTCATTCCTCCAGCTAAGGGATAGCCATTTCATGATTCTCTTACAACAAGGACATGAAAAGTATCCAGAAGCCACCCAAGTTTTTCTTCTATTGTCTTCTATATTCATATAAATTTTATCTAAATAATCCCAGTCACTACAGCAGATACTAGAAAAGGCAAGTCTTTGGCTATTGTATAGAAACAGCAGCTTGAACAGTGACTTGGTTGCTTAGTTTTCATTCAGTATTTAACTTTTAAAGCTTCACTTTCAAGGTTAGAGAAAGTATTAATTTGTAACTTTAAAAAATTGTGCCATGTCCCTGGGCATGGAGTCACATGTCTATGATCTTCACACTTGGGACAAAGGCTCCGGGGTCAGGAGTTCAAGTTCAGCCTTGACTATGTAGTTAGTGAATTGAGGCCACTTTTAGTTACATGAGACCCTATCTTAACCCCTATAGCCCCAAGCAAAACTTATCCATTTCCATATGGAAAACTGCTTATAGTCTGTGATGAAGGCTTTTGATTCATCCACTCCATTGTCAGTGATTGTCTAACATTAAATACAATCAAGGTAGTAAGCTGATAGTGAGAAGAATATGTGAAACTGCACTACCTACAAATTTATACTTCAAAAAAACTGCAGATAGCTTTAAAAATAACTTTATCTTAATTGTATCCACTAAATTCTATAACCTATAAAAGCATAGAAAGGAAATGTGTGCTGTATATCCAAAAGCAAGAAACTTCCAAAGAACACTCATAATGTGTATGTCATCTTGAAGGTCACTTTAGGAATATTTTAGTTTTAAATCTTTACCTTCATAGGAGCCCTGTACTGAATGTGATTTGATCTTGAATGTGAGAATTACTCTTTGAAAGTGCTGATATAATGCTAAGTATATTACCATAGTTTAATTGCAGTAAAATTGGCAGTATTCTCATATACATGGTAGAAATATACTTTTAATCAGAATACCCAAGTAGTTGGAACACTTTTCATTGACTGTTTTTATAACTGAGACAAACAATGCTAGTGCTTCTCAGGGTATAGCATGTCATTACAGGTGGAGACTTAAGGCAGACAAGTAGATTATGTTTTGTGGGAATGTTTGAATGTTAGTCTCATTCACAAAAATGATATCAATTATAACACAACAAAGAGAAAAAGAAAAATCATCCTTGGGAATTAACCCCTGTAAGAGGCATTCAAAGTCATATCCTTAAATCTTGTAAGACTAAAAACCTTATTTTAAAAAATCTGATTCTAAATGGTAAAATATGCTAAATATATTAAGTTGTGAAACAGCCTTGAAGAACTGATGCCTGAGAATCAGGCTATTTAATCCTCCTGAGATTTTTTAAAATTTATTTTTATGTGTATGGATGTTTTGCTTTATGTATGTCTATGCACCATGTGTGTGCAGTACCTGCAGAGGCCAGAAGAGGGCATCAGATTCCCCTTAGACTGGAGTTACAGATGGTTATTAGCTGTCATGTAGGTCCTGGGAATTGAACCTGGGTCCATTGGAAGTCAGCCAGTGCTCTTAGCTGTTGAGTGACCTCTGTAGGCTCCCTCCTGAGATTTTAAACAGTTAATACAAGGACAAGTTACCTGGATTTCCCATTGCTCCTAGAAGCCAGAGCATGGGTAAAAGTTGCTGAGTGACTGGACTCACTGTGACTTCTTCCTCACTCTTTTCCAACCCTGCTGACCTCCAGGAAAGGGAGGAAGTCCACAGCTGGAGATCACTGAAGCTTGGTTGTGCTTCTTTTTGTAGTGACTCAGTGTAACTCCCCAGTGCCAACTCTGGATTATTCCTCAGCTCTGCCTTGGCAGAGGATATGGAGAAATGACTAAGACCTTCCATTGAATGGTTTATTTCTTCATTTACATGTAGCTATGAAATACATTTTAAGACCAGGTGCTATCATTAAGTTTATAATTCTCCCTGGGGAGGTTTTAAGGAAACCACCATGGAACAATTTTTCTAAATCATAAAACTATTCAAAAACATGAAAATTAAAAGAATGCATGTTGTTATATAACTTTTGGTCCATTTAAAAATAAACTCCAGTATTTGAATGATTCATGGTCAAACTACTTGGGTGAAATTGCAGTTATAGAAATAGTGAGTTTTATTAACTTGAAATGAAATCCATGTCTTGGTTTCATTAATAGTTTCTACAATTCCTTCCAGTTCTAAATTTTATTATACTGATTTAGGAGCCCCACTAGTATGTTATTAATCCAATAAAGTAATCTCTCCAAGTAATTTCCATACTGATTTTTCCTCCTTCACATTACCAGAAAGAAAAATTACATGTTCTTTCTCATGTGAGCCAAGGGTCTGCCATAATGTAATCCTATCAATCGTAAAAAATGCCCATTGAAGAATGCATAGCCATCATGTACTAATGTAAATTTGGGTGCTAACACATTGCCTTGTTCTCAATGGTAATAGGAAGGGTTTGTTTCGTTTTCATTGCTGCTAGAAGAGTTGTGGTGCTTGCTTGTTTGACCCGTGTTGCACACAGGGTTGATGGTGTGTGAGAACTGATTATTCACGATCCCTGTATTGCTCAGGGAAAGTCAAGTGCATAGGAAGCTTACCTATGTTGAGCAATTTTGCTATGATTCAGTAAGCTCCTCAGTGTCTAAGGCTCATGACAAGCCACTGTGTACAGCGTGTAAGGAATGAAATGGTGATGGCACAGAGCATATTGTGTTCCTTAATATGCTGTCTTCTTTGAAGCTTCCATGGTGGGGGCATACAGGTGTTCACTGTGCCAGTGACAGCCTGGTGTATGTGGTACCAGTCGGACACTTCAAGTAGATGCATCCAGCTGGATATGACTTATACAGCAGTAAAATTGCTTTTTAAAAAGACAGTTATTCTCAAGATGGTTTCTAGGCAAATAGAGAAGTTGAATGACTTGAGGTTTTGTCTTAGAAATAAACCCTAATACTTAGGGGAAATCTTAAAATCTCGGTTTCTGCTTTTTCTGGTGGGAACACGAAATTAAATTATTATTCCTTTTAGTTTCCACCCTGCAGTAAGATAAAGTAATATGAAGAAAGTGATTTGACTTTTTGAGGTTTGGCTCTTGAGAGGCAGATGCAAACCTCCCTAGAAAATGTGCTTACAGAGAACCATCCGCCAAGTCAGGGGCTTTTACAGACTCCCCCCTTTCTCAAGTGTGCCTGCTGAATGTGTGTAGATGAAGATCCATGCATGATGATGTCAAGTGTCCTTTGTTAATCTGTGAGATTTAGTGTTGCTTTGGCCTTGCATCCCTGGTATGTAGTTTATCAGGAGATTCATCACTTGAGGGTTGTGATTCTCACATCTGGGATTCTGCTTCTAATTTTGTTTGCCCTCCCGCTCCTCCATCTTTCTGTTTCTCTATCCATCTCATTTCCCTGCATTTCCTCTTGTGTCTGTTCTCTCTTCCTTGAGTTGTTCCTTTTGTTCAGATCTACCTCTCCTCCTCTTTTATCTTCTCTATTAGAGGCAGGGTTTCGTCTTGTAGCCCTGACTGTTCTGGAACTCACTCTGTAGACCAGGCTGGCTTTGAATTCAGAGATCCACCTGCCTCTGCCTCCTGAGTGCTGGGATTAAAGGTGGGCACAACCAAGCCTCAATCTTTATTTCCTCTTTATCGTAAGCTCTCATTCCCTTGATAGTTAATGAGTGTGCCAGCCTGGGTTGGAATCTTCCATCCTTTGTTTGCACTGTGTCATGCTAGTTGTGTTTGGTTTTCACTGATTCCAAAGTACAGGTGCTTCTGGGACCACAAATCCCCATGAGGTTGTTGGGGTTGCCACATCAGCTCCTGGTTTATTCCAGATTAAGCCAGAAAACTAAACAATGCAGCCTGATTAATGCCTCAGTTTCCCTTTTTCCTTTTACTTCCACTTTCTTTGTTAATAAACAGCAGAGGGTTGTTTATTAACCTTCCAGGACATTTCGGGAATTCTCTGGTGCTGGCCATCTTAGAAGGACCATTTTCAATGTGGGCCCAAAGCTTTATTCCCACTAAGGATTAAAATACTAGACCCTGTCCCCCTGAAGGGTCCTCATCAAAGCAGTTGTGAACTTAGCTACCCACACTGAGTGTCGGTGGGTCACTTTACATGGCCTGGAGGTAAGTATTTACAGTTCCTATTGGATGCAACAGGTTCTGCCTCCTGAACTGGCAGTGGGTAGCCCTTCCCTTACTGTCCTTCTTGGGAAACTTCTCTTCACAGTGCCCCATCGCATGACGCTGCGGTGCTACACAGCGTGCTTACGCTCCCCCTTGTGTGATTAACACTAATTCAATAACTGCCTTCCTAACCGATGGCTATCTTTTCACAGAATAACGATGGCAGTATTGACTTCCGAGAGTATGTGATCGGCCTGGCTGTCTTGTGCAACCCTGCCAACACAGAAGAGATCATCCAGGTGGCATTTAAGGTACTGCCAACCCCACTGACCGCATCTCAGTTGGCCTTGGAAATATGTGTTGACTCTAACTCCATTATTTGAAAAATCGGTGAATCTGTTCCCCGAGTTTATAGATCTGCTGTGACATGTTCAGGAGGATAATGTGATTAAGTCAATTGCTACTGAGAATAAAGAAAACACAGGCATCCATTTAAACAACAGTAGAAGCAGCCTAGGTGTGAGCATCAAGACTTAAGAGAGAGCGGGTGATTTAGCAAATTAATGTTATTTCTTTTCAGCGCTCTTTGAAGTCCTGAAGTAAGATTTATAAGTAAATACCACTCCTTGCCCTGCATCCTAATTCATCTAGAAAGTTCTGACCTGTCCTTGTTTTTGCATCTGTTAGGTCATTTAAGTGGGACTTTGGTGCTGGAGTTTATTTTGTGTGGTGATGTCAGGGTAATGTCATCATAAATGTCCCAAGTTTCTACCCTCGCTGATCCTACTGTGCTAGCCAACATATTTTCAGTGTAGTGCAGGGATCTAAGTTAGGAGAAAAAAATTGTTCTTATCCTCAGCAAAGCTTGGGGAAAATGTGTATTGTGACAATCCAGACTGCACTTGCCACTCACTCATGCTGTACACCCCTCACTCATGCTGTACACCCCTCACTCATGCTGTACACCCCTCACTCATGCTATACACCACTCACTCATGCTGTATACCACTCACTCATGCTGTAAGCCACTCACTCATGCTGTAAGCCACTCACTCATGCTGTAAGCCACTCACTCATGCTGTACACTCCTCACTCATGCTGTACACTCCTCACTCATGCTGTAAGCCACTCACTCATGCTGTACACTCCTCACTCATGCTGTACACTCCTCACTCATGCTGTACACTCCTCACTCATGCTGTACACTCCTCACTCATGCTGTACACTCCTCACTCATGCTGTAAGCCACTCACTCATGCTGTAAGCCACTCACACTTGCTGTACACCAAACCACATGTCCTGAAAATGGAGCTGCCTCACCTGTTAGTGTTTCATTGCTGTTTCCGTTGAATTCTAAGAACCAGGGGGCATCTCTCAACTGAGGCACTGCCTTCATTTCCCCTCTGGCCTTGCCAAGCTGGCTTCACTGACTTGTACAGTGACAGCCTCAGCTTCCATGTAGCACGAAAACCGGTGACCTCTCCCATCTCCTCCTCTTCTCTCTCCCTGGCTTTCTCTGAGACAGAGACCCCACTGTGACTCCAACAAGCTTTTCCCCTTCTTTCTCTATTACCTAAAAACTTCTCTGGCCAACACTCCTTTCTTTTGTGTGTTTTAGAGGCCACCAGGGATGGCATTAAATAATAAATCATTGTTGGAAGTACCCATGAGGGCATTTTCTATTGCAGATGACTTTAAACTGAGTGAACTGGATATAAAGAACTAGAGTGATAGATGCTTAGCAGATAGCATGATGCAGGGGCCAGACACTTTCCCAAAATTTCAGACCTTCAGCTTTTAGACTTACTCATCAAAAAACCTAAAATGACACATAGAGCTAACTTAACAGACATCTGTGTTTCTGTCTTGGGGTTGTATGTGTAATTACACGGTTAGCTGAGCAAATGGTCATTCTTGGTTTGTCAATGAAAGACCCAATAGAAAAGTTGACCCTCAATCACAGTAATTACTGTTTTTAAAGAAACCATGAAAATGTTGACCAGCCTAGACCTTGGTTTGAAGATGGAAGAGGGAAGAAAGGAAGACTTCCATATATAATTAGCTCATTTTTTCTCTATGGCAAGGGTCATGCACTGGTTTTTATTTACCTCTCTCTTCATGTATTTATTTATCTCCTTTTTTTGAGACAAGGCCTCACTCTGTAGCCCTGGTTGGCTCAAACTTGAAATACTTCTACCTTGGCCCCTTGAAGGTTAGGATTATCAGTACAGGCCGCCAGGCCTAGCCCACACTGGTTATCTACAGTTGCTTTTCTAGTGTGTTTTGTGAATACTTTTACCTATTTTTTGTTTTCAGTTAGTAATATGCTTTCATAGTATTTAGAATCCTGTCATCTCCTTTTCTCTGGTAAGCACATTATAGCTAATTTAGTTGCCACTGAGCCCTGGCAGTTGCTGTGTGAAGTCTAAGATACATAAGGGACCTATGGTCTACAGTTTATGAAAATCTGTCAATTCATTTCTCTTTCCAGTCACCTTCTCCACCCCCCACCCCTACCCTCCTACCCCGTTAAAAGCTCAACACCAGGAAATGCATCAGTTTTCCCTTCTTGGGCTAACAAATCCCAACTTTGAGCTGTGGGTTTTTTTTTTTTTTTTCTCTCACCCACTGTTAAATATTCACTTGTATTTCTTTCCATGATTAGCAGACCTTGCTAATGCCAATCCTTCCATGTCTTTGATCTGATATTTGGTCTGCAATAGAGATTTCAAGCATTGGGGCCTCTGAGTACTGAACACCGGCATTTGCTAGCTCTGTCATTAACAGGTTGTATCCCTGGGACAGAACTACCTACCTTCATTGGGCCTCAGCTGCCACATGTCTAAGAGCGCTGAGAGTGACACCTGTTGACAAAGCATATTGGGAGCATTAAGGAACTGGAGACCCTTGATCAGTGCCTGTAAAGAATAAGTTCTAGTTAAAAAATTTTTAATACCCAGAGAGGATTTTGATTATTCGTTATCCATTGTTTACTCCTCTTCCACTGCTTGGCTTTTATCCTTCCCAGCCCACTGTGTTTCTTTCCACCTGTAAGTATACTCACCATTCATGCCTGGTGTTAGCCCATTGTCTCCTGCCCTCTGTTCTGTAACTTCTTAGAAATGCCCATGCCAGCTGTCATCGCAAATCACTTGTTTGTCCATTGATTCTCATTAATACCTCCCTTTTGGTTCTCTGAAACTGGAAGCTTCTCATTTCCTAATTATCAAATCTAGCAAATAGTTTGATATCCTTGGTCTTCCCATGACATTATAGTCTGGTGCCTGTTTCCATTGTCAAGTCTTGTTCTGTTAAAAAACCCCTGTTAGCTGCAGTTCACACATAATAGTCTAACAACTTCTAAATCTCAGTTCCTCTTCTGTCCACACATCTCAATGGTGCTGTCCCAGGTGGCTGTGCCTTTACTCCATATCTTCTCTACAGACAAGATGCACACACCCGTGGTTTCAGTTCTTGCCTGAATTTCTACCTGGAACTTCATAATCCCTTGAGCTCATAGCTGATCCTTCCTTCCTTCCTTCCTTCCTTCCTTCCTTCCTTCCTTCCTCTTTCTCCCCCCCCCCGCCCCCGTCACTCTCTCTCTCTCTCCTGGCACCTCTAACTCAAATTTAACTTTTCTAGGCCCAACTCTTATCTCATTTGGCAGTAGTTCTAGGACTGTTTTTCCTCAGTTACTCAACTAGAAATCTCTGCCTCTTTGGCTCCTCCCCATCACTACAAACCTTTCTGAAACTTCTATCAGTGCTGCTTGTACAGCCTGCCCTTCCGTCCTGCTTGTCCACCCTAGCCTCGCTTGGTTTTCTTACTTGGAAAAGTCTGCTGCCCCCATCTTGTCCTATACACTCTGTTCCAAAGGCCACTTCCCCTTGCAAGTATTAGGTGGGGCCATACTAATCTACTGTCATCTTGTTCTAGCTTCTCCATCAGTCTCTGGATTAAGTCCCAGAGACTCACCTGCCATTCCTTTTATCTTCTGGGAACATCTCTTTACATATGAGAGGCAACTGTAATGACAGCCTTTGTGGACCTCTCTGGGTAAGATTCATCATGTCCCTCCAGGGTTCCCATGTCTTTTAGTATGTACTATTGGCACAGTCCCTATTCTAATTCTGTCTCTTTCCACTACCCAACCGCTGTAGGTGTTTAAATCTTAAAAGAGCAGCAGAGACCATTCCCTCACTGGGCCCTCTCACTTGTACATACATTATGTACATATGTGTGTATGTATATATGCATATAAATTATACAATAACTATTTCCATTATTAAAGTCATTACTTTACAATGCAGTTGAATACAGTAGGCTTTAGGCCCACCTCTGTGTGTGTTTCCCTTGCAGCTCTTCGATGTTGATGAGGATGGCTACATAACAGAGCAGGAGTTTTGCACCATTATGCAGGCTTCTCTTGGAGTGCCTGACCTTGATGTTTCTGGTCTCTTCAGGGAAATTGCCCAGGGGGACTCTGTTTCCTATGGTGAGTAGGCAATTCCAATCCTCAATCCCAGTCCTTTAAGAGAAGAGCATCTGGGCTATTAATTGAGAGTCAGATGGGCGTGTTTCCCTTGGCTAACTATTGGTAGTAGCAATGATGATAACGACTGTAATGTTACTATGGTGGTGATAGTAATAGCTAATTATTGAAGACTTACATATCAGGTACTTTTTTATGTTTTGTGTATATAAATTTGTTTAATCAGTATCCTGTTTTGTTTTTTCACATCTGTGTTTGGCAAAGAACAAAGGGCTTAAGTAACTTTCTGAAGACTAGCCACCTGAAGATTGTCAGAGCCAGGATTCCAAGTCTAAGAGTCTGGCGTTAGAGCCTATACCATTGTCTACATGCATCAGTGCCTTTCATATCTGCTGTGAGTGTAGCCAGGCTACCCTGAATAAGCTCGTCAAGCTAGGCTGTAACTACAGTGGAGGAGGATGGACCAAGGCCCTGCTGGTAGTAGTAGCCAAATGATTTACTGAGATTTCATGTAGTAGTTTATATAAACGTGGGCAGCCTTCCTCTTTGTCATCCTTTGTCATGAGGGAGTGACCGTGACAAAAGAAGGCCTGTAGTATTGTGGTATAGTTACAGACTCATGCATTGGCTTCTCCTCCATCCGGATGGTTCAAGACCATACATCAAAACAATGGTGATGAATCACATTCCCTGTGTTTCCCAGTGTAGTCTTTAAGAAACATACCTCCGTGCAAAGGCCTAGGTGATTGTTTCCTGCTGAGCTTTGATGTGGTCCTGGATGCCAGGCTGCATTATCTTCCCCAAGCTTTCCCCTCTGGCTGGAGAGATACTAACTACCTAATTACATTGTTCACAGAGGTTCAGCTTATTCATGCTCATGGGATGGGGAAATCAGGTCACATGCTTCCCTTTCTCTGTGTTTAGTTACTAGCATTTTGTCTGCCCTTAGTCTCTTTTAGGTAATCCCATACAGAGGACCACGAATCTATTGAGTTCATTAAAAAAAAAAAAAAAAAGAATCTTCAAAAATTCATGTGAACTAAATTTTCTTTAGTCATTTGCTTGCACAATGCTATTACTCCAAATACCATTTTTAAAGCTTTTTAAATGTATGCATTTATTTATATGCCTCTGTGAGTTTATATGCACCTTGTACATGCAAGTGCCCACAGAGGTCAGGGGGAGGGCATCAGATCCCCTGAAACTGGAGTTATAGAAGGTTGTGAGCCAACATGTATGTGTTGGGAACCATGGAGCCATCTCTCTGGCCCCAGAACTACCAAATTTTGACAGTGTTTCATTGGAAGATAATAATTTTAATTGTATTAGAATTATTTGTACGTGGCCATACTTTTGTCAGCTTAATCAATCTTTTAGAGAATTATGCTGTGATTGTTTTGCTCTTATTTTTTAGATTTATTTTTATTTTATGTGTAGCAGTTTTTGGCTTATATGGATGTTTGTGGACTATATGCATATCTGGTGCTCACAGAGGTCAGAACAGGACCATAGATCTCCTAGTACTAAAGTTATGGATGACTGTGAGCTGCTCTGTGGATTCTGGGAGTCAAATCCAGACCCTGTGCAAGAGCAAGTGCTCTTGACTGCTGAGCCATGTCACCAGTCCCAGGAATTTTTTTCTTTTTTTTTAATTAAATTTTTGCACATGATATATTTTGATCATAATTAATACACTTATTTGAAAAAAATCATGCATGTATATATAGAGTTTTTTTTTTTTTTTCATAGCCACCTCTCATGTTCTCTTTCTGTAACTCCCTCTAGGCCCTCTCAGAACATCTCCCTTCCAGCATTACTTCCTCTTTGGCAAATAACCCACGGAGCCCAGTTAGCTCTGTACATTTGCACATGGGTGTGGGACCGTCCACAGGGATGTGGGCAATCTGGCAGTCTACCAGGGACCAGAGTTTGGCTTTGTTTTTCTAGTCCAACCTTTTTCTTCTAAGCATATACAGAATCTCTCCTTTCCCTTAATATTATGAAAGTCCAAATTAAAACAAAACAAAAACCAGTTTGAGGTATTTAGGTATTTTTTAAAATAAGTGTTGACATGTTTGAGTTTTGTCTAAGTTTTTGAACGTCCTATAAATGAGCTCTTGTAATCTGTGTTTTTTTGTATCTGGCATTTTTCACTCAGTGTATATATAGTCACAAATTTGTCATCATTGTTCATTCACTTTCATTGCAGTCATTATGCTCCATGAATATGTTACAATTGTATTCATCGTGACTGTTGATAGACATCTGAGCCATTTTCTTTTTTCCCTGTTAGGAATGATGTTGCTATAAATATTTTCATATATGTCTTTCAGGTGCAATTCACAATTTCCACAGGTTGTGTACCTCAGAATAAGCTAGTGAGTCATTAAAAATATGTATTTACAACTTGACCTAAGTGTTGGAAAACCTCTTACAGAGTGGTTGTACACTTTATATTCTCATCAGAGGGTTTTTGACTTGAGTAACAGGATTCTGCAATAAAAAGATCTTTTGATGAGTTTCATCGTGCCCAAAGAAGAAACACCCTAACTTATTGATATTTTTTTTCCTTTCTTCTAGAGGAATTCAAAAGTTTTGCCCTAAAGCACCCAGAATATGCCAAAATATTTACAACATACTTAGATCTCCAGACATGCCATGTATTTTCGTTGCCAGATGAAGTCCAGAAAGCCCGGTCTGTTGCTAGTAATAAAGTCAGCCCTGAGAACCATGAGGAGGGCACCTCAGACAAAAAGGTCGATTGAATCAGTGTTCTTGGTGAAGAAAGCTGTGCTTCTGCCTGACACTGGAAAGGTGTTGATTGACAACATTGTAAATGTGCTTATCAACTAATGATGTTCAAAGTAGAAAGCTTTTTTACTGAAATGACATGTTTTCTTCCTAAACGCTTTTATTAACCTGTATATACCAAGTAAGTTCCTTTTGTCTTATATTGTACTTTTACTGGTGATAAATGCTGTATATTTTTATGAATTTTTCAGTTCAATTTTCATAATAAACTCATTGGTCTTACTCTGTATTGGCCAGCATGAATCAACACTGTGAGTTTAGCAAGTACAAACAATTTTCAGCCCTTTCACATATAATAATACTAGGTTTTCTCTACTTACTTCCCTTTCTGAAAATAAGGATAAGGAATCTGAAAAATTTGGTGGAGTTTTGTATCTTAATCTTTGCAGATTTATTTTCCCATTTAAATTTCCGTGTCCTCTGTCATTGACTAGGAGAGGGGAGTACCCTTAGCTAGATGATGCTTTCTAAGAGTGTACACTCCCCTCGATATGCCTCTCTATTGCAGGTTTCTTTAAAATGCCTGTTAAGGTCAGCAGGTCCTTTTACAAAATCCATAATATAAAAGAGGCCATGTTTTAAATGACTGCTGTGTCCACAAGTTGAGTGGGAATTGCCTTATTGAAGGGAACAGTGATTGCCTAATGAGATAATGAATTGTTTGCTACAGAGTTGAATTGAATTTGAGTTGGATGGTTCTGAAGGTAGCACTTTCCCAATGAATAAATCAGATTTGTTCTATTTATATAATGGTCAAATTAGTATATTTTAACATCCAATTTAAAGGAGAGTTTTATTGTGCTTAATTTTCCTCTCAAACTTTAGAGTTTGTCAGAAATATCCACAGACACTTCCAGTGTATCACCAACAGCCAAGGAATCAAAAAGCTTAGTTTGTCAGTGCGTGGCCACAGTCTACACCCACGCAGGAATCCAGCAGCAACATATTCCTTCTAGGTTAGGCGAAAACTAGTTCTCTACTTCCAAATGCCATTTTTATTGGGACCCATGTCTGCATGCTCTTAATATCAATCAAACTTTGAGGTTTCAAATAAAGAACCAACTTATTTAAAGAATGTACAAAAATAATTGGTTACTCTTCTTCATTCAGTCTTTGATACCAAAGTCTTTGCTTGGGCTAGGTTTCAGAATCTATTAGACAGTCCACCTTAACATAGAGTTTTAAAGTCAGTTTTGAGGCTCTGAAATCTCCTGAAAGTGTTGGAGACTATATTGAATCAAGGGCTATGACTTTGAACTACTTTCACACATGAAGCAGGTGTCTTCTAAGTTAATGGCTAAATACATATTTGTATAATTGAGTTTTATCCTTATGTATATGTAATTATTTGCTTTTCATGTGTCTTAAAGCATTTTTTAAGAGGCATTAAATGAGCTGAAGCAATTTCTTAAGTAATTGATTATGCTAAGTAACGTTTACACTGACGTCTGCCATATGCAGTGAATGTATGCACTCAGGGAGCGCAGAAAGCCCACACGTTAATCTACTAACCACGGGAGAGTGACGTTAGGAGTTTGAGGCTTTCTATGAGGCCCTTGAAAATGATCCCATCATTTCCTGTTTTTATACTTCTACTTCTATCAGTATGGTATTTCCCTTTTATGACTTCATCAATGAACAAACAAGTAAGTTGCAATGGAAAACTTGGCAACTTCAAAGTTTTAGTTTTGCGATGGTTTTCTCAAATAAACTTTTTTACTTAAAGATACCACGGTTGAGTCTGAGTTCATATAATATAGATGTAGTTGTCTGTTTGTTTCATTGATTTTATTTTGTCTTACTGAAAAAGCTCAGACTTTACCCAAAGTAGTAGTAGTATTGGTTTTTAGATTCATTTACTTTTATGTCATGTGGATGTTTTTGCCTGCATGTGTGTCTGGATATCATGTATGTGCAGTGCCCGTGAAGGCCAAAGAAAATCCTCTGGATCCGGAGTTATGGATGGTTGTTAATCACTGTGTGGGTAATGGAATCAAACCTGGGTCCTCTAGAAGAGCAGCCAGGTGCCCTTACCCACTGAGCCAGCTCTCCAGCCCTGTGAAGTTATCTTTAAGGAGCTTGACTTGATTGGCTATTGAGCAGCCCTAGTCTTCCTGCCCTGCCAGTTTCTTTAGAGAGGTGCTTCTCCTCTTAAGATTAAGGATTAGAAGTTAAATTCCACTATGGTCATAATTTGTAGAGGGAAAATGAGAAATATTATTTCTTAAAATAGTAAACTAATCACATTTTGATCAAAATAGTTCTCTTGGGAGATTATGATATAACCAAGTTGCTTAGAGACCAAGGTGTTTGCATTATGTGTGGTTAACTTTCCTCTTCCAGGTATGATCAGTGGTGCTAGTTCTAAATGGATATATATTTAAATTATATTTGCAGCTGGATGTGGTGGTGCACACCTTTAATCCCAGCACTCGGGAGGCAGACGCAGGTGGATCTCTGAGTTTGAGGCCAGTCTAGTCTACAAAGCAAGTTCCAAGACAGCCAGGGCTACACAGAGAAACCTTGTCTCAAACAAGCAAGCAAACAAGCAGACAACAACAACAACAACAACAACAAAAACCCACATTCACTTATTTGGGGTGATAGCATAGGCACGCTATGATCATCCTGTGTGGAGGTCAGAGGACAACTTATTGGAGTCAGTTCTCTACTTCCACAATGTGAGTTCTGGGAAGTGAACTCAGGTCATCAGACGTGGCACCAAATGCCTTCATTCAGTGAGCCATCTCACCTGCCCACCTCTGGAGGGTGTTTAGAGGAGAGTGACTCCCTTTTGGAAGGTATGTGTTCTGCCCTCTGCATGAGGCACAGCAGTGAAGGTACTTGAGTCACAGGCTCAGGAACTCTCTCCATCATATCATTCCAAACACACGATGGCTAATTGAAGGCAATGTGTTGTTCTCAATTAGAAGGGCGAGGACTGTATGGAATAGACAGGCCGTCTGCTGTGAAAGTCCTTGGATGTTTGGTCTTTATATAGCAATCACAAAAGAAGAGAATATACTGATAGAAGGCTGTTTACTAGGAGAGCGCACATATTTATGAAGTGTTAGTCCCCTGACACTCCGCTCGGATGAACTTTCTGGTTTGTTTGTTTGTTTGTTTGTTCTTGTGGGTTAAATTGTTGTTATGTCTTCTGCAGTTTTATGTGTTTGAATGTTTGGTCACCAGCTGGTGGTACAGTTTTGAAAGGTGATGTCAATTTTGGGAGGTGGAATCTTGATGGAGGAAGTGCATCTCCAGGGAGAAGCCTTGAGATGTAGAGTCTGGTTCATCCAGCTTCTTGTCCTCTCTGCTCCTTAGTCCCAAGTAGCTCATTTGAACACTCAATAGAACATGGGTACCCTGTCACTAGTTACAGTGAACAAAAGTGAGGACTCAGTCAGCAGGTGGTAAAGGACACAATTAAGTCAGAATTTGCCTGATTCCAGCAGCCATGCTTTAACCATAAGGTAAAGCACCACACCACACTGCCTGCTTTACAGAATTTGCGGATTTAACATCTGTCACATGTATTCCCACTTGTAGGTTCTAGATATCATATTGTAACTTAGTTCTTAAATGGAGAAGAGATAGATACCACTAAAGATGGTTCTGGGACCCAGAGAGATGCCTGAGCCCTTTCTGGGCTCTCAGCACTGACATGGAAGCTCTAAGCAGCTATAACCTCAGTTTGGGGGATCTGATGCCCTCTTCTGGCCTCTATGAGCACCAGCAAGATACATTCAGAGAAACACACATACACAAAAGAAAAGTAAATTTAAAACAAAAAAGAATGGTCTTAACAGTGAGCAAATGATTGAGAGGGGTTAAGGCAGCTAAACTGCAGGCTTGTGAGGGTAACACTTCCATCCTTCCTTATGGTCCTACCTTCCCATGGGGATTCTTCAGGTTTCTGTAAATTAGAGGGGAGGTGAGCTTCAAAATGCTACAGAAACATTTCTCTGTGGATAGTGCTGGAGCATCGGGTCGGGTCTCCACTTCTCCCCTTCTGCAGAGTTGCCATTGCAGTCACAGGAAAGCGTGGGAGGGGGCAGCTGAGTGTCCAGGCATTCATTACAGCTGTTGTGGGATATTTACCTCCTGCTAATTCTCTTGCCTTGCAGGAAACACGACAATCATTTCAAAGCACAAGCCAGATACCACTTCTTCAGTCAAAGCTTAGCAAAGGCCACAGTTACAATGTGGGTAAACAAAAAACATTCATCCTGGTACACAAAATCTTCATGGCCTGACTCCTGCCTACATGCTAGATCTCAGCTGCCCTCAGCCTCCTTTCTCACCAAATCCCCGGACCCAATTTCTTGCTTTCCTGCAAACTGGCTAAAGCCAGTTCCAGTCTCGAGTGGCTCTGCTGCCTTCTTGGATAGACTATCCCCCCTGATCTTCCCATGGCTTTCTGTGCTTCAGGTTTTAAGAGCAGCTCCACACAATGTTGTTCACATTTCATACAATACTTATTTTTGTTTATTCACAGAGTTGGGTGGCCATCACCACAATCTAATGTTATCCCAGTGTCATCTTAATTCAGATTTTAAATCAAATACCATATCATCATTTGGGAATTGCCATGTTGTCAATCACAAAGCTATGGGCACTCTCAGTCCCACCACCATTCTTCTTGTTACACTTACCTGAAGTTAGTTACAGGTGTGCATCCTTGTTTGCCATTTCTAGTGCCTAGGTTTTCCTGACATTTGATGTTTGCTGAAGACATAATGGTAACATTATCTTTCGTTTCTTGTTCCTCACATGGTATAAGAAATGAACTTGAAAACCTGGAATTATTGTCTCTAAAACTCACATAAAAGTTAAGGTCAGAGAGCCGGGCAGTTGTGGCACATGCCTTTAATCCCAGCAGTTGGGAGGCAGAGGCAGGTGGATCTCCGTGAGTTCAAGGCCAGCCTGGTCTACAATGTGACACAGAGAAAGTCTGTCTCGAACCCCCTCCCCCCAAGAAAAGTTGAGGCCAGAGAAGCTTTACTTCTTGTTGAGAGTTACCTAACTATGAACTCTGGGTAGGAATTCAAACCCAAGACTGTCTGGCTCTCCATGTGAGGACTTTTGATTAAGATACTGTAATCTGGACCCATAAAATAACCAAAGAATTACATGTCAGGCTGCAGCTTCCAGAAACATGGAAACTAGATAATCTGAGAACCTCTAGCCACAAAACCTCTAGAATGCTAAATATCACAAGCATGAACAGAAACACACAGATGCGTGGGTAGTGTATGAAGGATAGTTCCTCGGTGCCCAAACTGCAAAGAGCAGCAACCAGGGCTATCTGAAGGAATGAAGGCTGCAGCTGACCTATGGATGTGTGCCAGCCTCGCTAAGGAAGAGGCTGTAGAAGGAACAAGTAAGACTCAGGTTTAAGATGGCAAGGATTGGAACAGGCATCTCAACAGAGAATGTTTGCTAAATTCTCAGTATAAAAGTGAATTGAAGCTTGGCCAGTGGTGGCTCACACCTTTAATCCCAGCAATTGGGAGTCAGAGAGATAGGTGGGGCTCTGTGAGTTCAAGGTTAGCCAGGTCTACAAAGCTACACAGAGAAACCATGTCTCAAAAAAAAAAAAAAAAAAAGTGAATTGAAAGAAATTCATCTTCTGGCTAAGGAAGACAATGAAGACAGTTTTTCTCATCCTGGGTGCTAGGATGCAGGGAGATAGCTAATGTTTTTGTTTTCCATTTCAATTGTTTTAGCTGCATGGGTGATGGGGGAAGTGCTTCTGTGTATGTGTTTGTCTTACTGGATGATAAATAAAATACTGTTTGGCCAATGAGGCAGCAAGTTAGGCAGGACTAGGAGTCAAAGGGGATTCTGGGAAATGTAGTAGAAAGTGTTGATCCAGGCAGGAAGTGACATAGCTAGGAGACTCATATTTAAGCAAGGAGAAACAGGAAGTGTCTCTCTTTCCCCTCCGCTCTTCCACCAGCAGCACAATGTGATCCACCAGCAAGGAGGGACACCAATGAAGGTGTCTGATAAGATAAGTCTTATAAAATATATAGATTTATGATAATTAAGACTGAGCTAACAGATGAAAATCCTAGTCATTGGCCAACCAGCATTTGTACCTAATATGTCTCTGTATTATTTTGTCCATCCACGCAGCGGGCAAAAGTCAGGCAGCTGGCGGAGACCACCCACATGGCGGTAGGGCTCGGGCAGCTTTGGCAGAAAGATTTATCGTAACACATGGGGATTCACTTCTTAGTCTGATAGGTGTCCCAGTGCATTTATAAAGATAATATACATCTCAAATAAGTAATTTATAGTCTCTATGGGCCTTGGGTTATTTATCCTGCCTTTCTTTCCCTACCCCGTGTGTGTGTGTGTGTGTGTGTGTGTGTGTGTGTGTGTGTGTGTTATAATGTTAGATATGAAACCCAGGGCCTTGGGCATACTAGGTCATTATTTAGTCATCCCCAGCTCTTGGTTGTAGAGGGAACAAAAGCTTGCTGTATAACACAGAAGGTACAGCCCAGGCTGCCCTAAAATTTGCAATTCTGCATTTTGAGTGCTGGGATTGCAGCAATATGCTGCTACACCGGCCCCACCTTGGTCCTTTAATTGGAAAATTCTATTCATTGGCATTTAGTGCAATCTATTGACATGGCTGATTTTTAGCCCACTCTCTATCTTCTCTTCCTGGTTTTTCCATCTATTCTTTGAATTTCTCTCTTTCTCCTTTTAAC